AAAAAAAAAAAAAAAGAATCCATAATTTCAATCAACTCCACTAAACTATCCAAATTTGCTCGAACGTCCTCCAGCTGAAGGTTGATCCTCACATCAATCAACACACAGTACTTAATTTGTACGAAAATTCGCTGTCTCAAGCCTCTTTTTGATTCTTTATACGCCTCTCAAAGTCTCTAATCTTTTTGCCGACAGAACAAATTGGAGGTCATTTTTTGTGCCGCTTCTGCCTCCGCCGTCTCTAATTTCAATTGGGTATGTCTGAATTTGATCGTTACAGTAGTTTTGATTCAGTTCTTCAGAGGTTATCAGTTCGGTTTTCGTATGTTCAGTTTATGTTACCTGAAAAAAGTTTGCATCTTTTTGAAGGTCTGTGGGCTACTGGGCTTTGTTTTCTTGATTTATTTACACCTTTTTCGCTTATAAATCCCTATTTATTTGCACATTTTACGGAGTTTCTTCTCGTAAGTGCTATTAATTTGCAAATATGCTAACTTTCACCATTCATGAATGGTTGATTTGGGGTTTATTTTTCTCATTGGTTTCTAAATTGCATTGTTTTTTTGGTCTATGAAATGTTTATGTATGGTTTATGTATGTTTTTATTTCGATTCGAATCTTGTGTTTTCGCAGAAGTTTTCAAAATGTATAGTGAACATGTAAAAAGGGTCTATAGTTGATGGCAATCTCCAGACCTTAATTCTTGATTTTTTTTTTTTTCCTAATTCTATGTTTTTTTTGTCTGTTTTTTTTTTTTTTTACCTTTTCTTGAATGGGCAGAGACAATGTCCCAAGGGTACGCAATCGAACTCTACTTCGATCCTGCCCTCGAGAACCAAGTCTTGAAATCATGGAACATTTTGGCTAGACGCCAAATCAGCACTCAGCTGATCGAAATCGAATCTAGGCCTCACCTAACGCTATTTTCGAGCCCTTTTGTCGATATCACTAAACTCGAGACCGTACTTAGAAATTTCTGCTCAAAGCAAGAACCTTTACCTTTGTGCTTCTCATCAATTGGAAGCTTCCCGAGCGAAAACAATGTAATATTCCTGGGCCCCACTCCATCTCTGTCACTACTTCAGTTTCATTCGCAGTTATGTGACTCGATGAAAAAGGAAGGCATCGAAATCGGGGAAGAATTTCGTCCCGAAAAATGGATTCCTCATTGTTCGGTGGCTGAGGATGTTCATAGGGGCCGTTTGGTTGATGCGTTTAATGTTCTTCGCGATTTGAAGCTTCCGGTCAGTGGGTATGCAATGGAAGTCTCGTTGGTCGAGTACCCGCCGGTTCGTGAGCTCTTCTCTTTTAACCTGGGCACACCATATATCGGTGAGATCTGAATATGTGTTTTTGTGCTTAATGTTGGATTAGTGTTTTTTTATGTGGTGGATGGTTTTTAATTACGGTTGTTTGAAAAGTGGGGTTAATTGTACGAGTGACCATTTCAATTGGTGTTCTGCTGTTTGCAGTTATATGAACTTCATCGTGTTAGTATCATGTTTTGTGCCTAATTATATGGCTTCTAACTTGTAAACTTCGATGAAATTTGGACTCTTATTACACACTAGCTTAATTCTTGGCGATCATATTCGGCCTATTTTGGATGGTGAATTTTCTACACTCAATACATGAATGTGTGTTTGTGTGTGTGATTGGGTTGCATTAGTTTTTGAGCTCAAAGTTTGCCATATATATGTTAAAAACTTTGTGAAAGCCTTATTAAGGCTTATCTGGGTAAGACGTAATAGTTATTCTGCTGTGTACATGTTAAGGAGAAAAGAACATGTTTAGGTATTGCAAAGGAGAAAAGAAAAAGTTTAGGTATTGCACCTTAAATTGAAGAATAAATTGACGATCTGAACCGTTTAAAATGATCTGATTAATCATTGCCCGAATTTACTTCGGATGAGTTCTCGGTCTCCTCTGTTTTCGTGGTCTTAAGAAATTGTCTCGAATTATTCTGAAGCCATATGAGATTTGTTTTGTAACCTTGCTGGTGTTATAGATTGTGTTGCCGTTTCATTACTTTTCTTTCATGTAAATATTTCTCTGCAGAATGTATCTGAGTGGAAGATCTTTGTTTTTCCATAACATGATGTTTAAGATTTTACAGCTTTTTCTTTATCATGATTCTTGCCCTTGTCAACGTGTACTACTAATTTGAATTCAAGAAATATAAATGAAAAGAAAACCCTGCCCCTCAAAGTATTGATGCATCTATATTTGCATGTTACAAACACAACCCGAAGATTCGAACTCGACACAAAAGCTCATAATCGAGCCTCACTTTTGAGAGACGAAAGCCCGGGCCATCTTCTTGATTGACTCGAAGAGAAGCTCATTCCAACCATGGATCGTCTCTTCATCAACTCGATAAAAGCTAATTCCAACCATCGACCCGCCCAACGAACACCATTGGTCAATAACTCCTTCATCCCCCCAAATCTAATACACCTCGAAATGCAAAAGGGGAATATGACCTTATGAAGACGCGAATCGTACATTGCATTTTGCATAGTCGTTGATGGCCCTGAATATTTTTTGGTTGGGCCCAACACGAGGTCCATGGTGCGGGCCGTGCAGTAGATGCAACCCTAGAATCGTTGAGCCTGGTCCAAGGTCCATGACATGGGCCCTACAGTAGATGCAGCCCGCGACCCCCACCGGCCATCGCCCTACCCTCGTACAGGTAGTTCGGGTCGAAAAAAACACAGTTTGACATCCAAATAGACTATGACTATGTTTGGTAAAACTAATTGATAGCTTATAAGTGAATTTCGAGTTTATACTTGATAAATTATGGCTGAAAAAGCTAGCTAATATGATGGAAGTGTTAAGTAAAATTAGTTGATAAGCTATGTGAAATAATAATTCTAATGAGCTTATTTGAAAAGCTATCAAAATAAGATTATAAGATAATCTCAAGCTTCCTAGCAAACTTATTCTAGCAAACCAAGTTTATTAGTATACAGAAACTTACAAGTTCAAACTAGGTTACTCTTCCTACAATCAATTGATTTTCGGATGAATCACACTATAGTACATCTAGACTCACTCTGTCATGGTGCGCTTCACGTGCGTGGGATCGCACCCGTTTTACCACCGGGTTCGATGGCTTCTGCAGAGCCTGCGTCGACATGTGAAAATCAGCGGGTCGGCCCGACCAGAGCTTCGTATTGGCCCGAATTCATTGGAAGACCAGGCGGGTGGGCAAGATATGCTTCAGAAGTGACCCATTCTGAATTCTGAACCAGGAAACGGGTCGGCTTTTTGGATATGATGGAGCTTAAATTTAGGGCTAGTTGTGCCCGTTTGAATGTGAAATTGTAGTACAATGGCTGCCCAAAGGCTTCTGGTGCATGAAAGATTCAGTTTTGATGGTAGATTGAAGCGGTTTTACACAATATATGGACACATGTGAGTTTCAATTTTTAAGTTATGTAATTATTATTGTCCACATAATGTGTTTGATACAGATTACGGCGTTATTGTGACTTTATTAGTTTCATATATACTTGTTTGATGATGTTAATATTATTTGTACGGTCTATGTTGTGGTCCTCTGTGTGCATTCTCTTGGCTTGAAACTGAGTTACTCTCACTCACTCGGTTAAGAACATTACTTAGTATTCCTTTCCGTACTGTTTTGTTTGTTATCAACTGTTCACATTACAGCTCTGTGTGTTAAGGTATTTTTCATTATTGAAAGATGACAATAAATGGGCAGAGCTGTAAATGCTCGTGTCGGTTGCAACTATCCCGGACGGTTACATGATGATCCAACGGTTACAAACCCCGACGGAATGGTTTCGTAACAGGATCGTAGCATTTTCCTGTGTTCGGTTTGATACTTGTGATTTTATCTGAATGCGTGGATGTAATGCGATCGCTACTGCAAATTTAACGTACGTTGTGATTGTTACATGTGTGCTAACTTCTTGACTTGTGATTTGCATTGTGAATTCAAAAATTGTGGGGTGGTTCATCGCTCTCAAGTCTTGAAGCTATAACAAAAAAGAAAAAGAAAAATAAAAATTGAGAAAGATGAGTTAAAATGGTTCTGTTTTACTGTATAGAAATCCTATTTGAGGTTAGCTGCTATCAGTTTTATTTCTCATGTCTCATGTGGATTTGAACAGGCAACTTGGATATGAATTGGCTGGCACATCACATGGCATAATTCTTTCTTTTGTTTTTTTTTTTCTTTTAAATATTTGTATATTAATGAGAAATGCTACGATCCAATTACGGAACATTCTGTCGGAATTTATAATCGTTAGATTATCATGTAATCGTCGGAGATTATGATCTAACGGTTACAAACCTCGACAGAATGGTTCTGTAACGAGACCATAGCATTTCCCAATAATAATAATAATAATAACACAAATGCATGTGGTGAAGGTGCTTCTTCTACTGATCAACCACGCCACATGGCAATTAATGTCCTGTACCTTTCGTATCCTTACTGATAATTGATTATATGAAAAAATAATTAATTTAGTCTGAGATTAGTATGATTAATATTCTAAACTATCATATTATAATTGCTTTTTTTAAAAAAAAATATATATATATATATATATTATGGGGACAGTCCAGAAAAGGGTAGCTTAGCACATGATGGGAGTTTGTTGATGGGCGGCGCAAATGGGCACATGTGGGCGTGTAAACAGCGACAGTGGGCTCTGATGGATAAGGGCCTTGGCCCATTGTTTGGTGGATGGGGCACATCCATTAACCCGTTTTTATCGTTTTTCTTGCATTTTCTCAAATTTAAATATTAATAAATAACCCAAAAAAAATAAATTAATGGGTCTAATAAAATAAATAGCAAAATGTCATCAGAGCCACAAATTAAGCTGATTAAGCTAGTTCCAAACAATTATTATTATTATTTTTTTAATTTAAATATTTTCAGTTTTAACTAGTACCTAATTGCAAATGACTAATTTCGTACCTAATTGCAAATTAGAGGACTAATCCACAACTTACATGTCAAAATTACATATCTTTTTCACAAAACTATAACTCCAATTCTTCTTTAATTTTTTTTTTTTTTTTTATTGGTTATTACATGATGAAGGATATTTGAACATTGGACAACTAAGGTGAAAATAAGAGAATTGAATTTGCTAATGACAGTAACATGAGATTTAAATACGAAATCAATAATAATATAAAAAGAAATATATGCGGATATATGTTGAAAAATATTAAAAAAAAAATACTGTAAAATTAATTAATTACGGTTAAATAAATTCTTGCGCAAATTTAGATGCCAAATGATTATTTATTCTAGTTTTTATTTTGCCAAATGAGGAATATTGCATTAAAAAGTGTGCAATGATTTTGGTGGACAATATGAATTTACAAAGAACAAGTAAATAAATAAAATAAAATAAAATTGAGTTGTTATGGAATCTATACTTATACAAAAAGTCATCATATTTACTAGAATTAGTAGGAAGAAAAGTCCCTCGTAATTAGTTGCACACCATATTTAGAAAGTTTTTAAATTTTTTAAATCATAAAATATGGTAGCATTAAATGCTCCTAAAATTATGAGTTTTGTTGAATTTATTTTAATAAAATCTGCATCCAAATTTACGTGTGGTTTTGAATTGAAAATTTGAAATTCAAAATTTCTTATCATTTTAGTTACAAGAAAATCGAGATGCATTCAACACTTGGGCCAATTTAACTATAGTTAACCAAAATAACTCATTTTGAACGAATTATTTCATATCTCTCAAGAAAAACCCTATTCCTCTCTCCTCGTTGCCCCCCTTTCCGCCGCAAAACCAGAAGAATACGCCGCCCCCCTCTGCCGGCGAGTGAATCTCGCGCACTCCAGGCTATTCTGGTTGAGTCGCGGCTGGGACCTTCTTCTCCGCCCCTCCCGGAGTCCTACGGGATTGTGGCTGGCTGTGGTTCTTGTCGCCATGCCTAAACTCTCTGCTCTGGAGGGGTTGCCGGCCGTTTATAGCCCAGCCGCGGGAGCCCACCGAATTGTTGGCGTCCCGGCCTCGCAAGCTCCTTTTCAGCACCATGGAGGCGTGCGTTTGGCCAGCTTCTAGGGGGTGGGTCTGTCGGGCCTAGGGTTGTAAACGAGTCGAGCCGAGCTCGAGCTTAAGGTATTTGAGCTCGAGCTCGAGCTTGGCTCGTTAAGCCCTCGAGCTCGAGCCTTAACGAGCCGAACTATAAAAAATTACATAAATTTCACTTTTTGAGCCTTAACGAGCCTTATTGAGCCGAGCCGAGCTCGGCTCGTTAACCAAACGAGGTTTAAATGAGCTTGATCTCGGCTCGCTAAGTCTTCGAACTCGAACCGAACCGA